CGAGGGGGTCGCGGGCCTGCTTTTGACCGAAGGGACGAATCCGACTGATTGCAAGTATGCGGAATGGACAAGGGAGGGAAGAGGAGCGGTAAGCCGAATGAGCGGAACGGCACTGAAGGGAACGGAACGGAACGAGGAGCGGTGCGCAAGCAACAGGAGCTCGAGCAGAGGAAAGCGGAGGAGATCGCGCGCCTGCAGCGGGTCGGCGCGCAGCCCGCGTTCTCGGGGGAGGGCGTCCGGGGATCGGATTCCGGCGCCGGAAAGACCACCGGAATGCACACGGGGTCGCCTTTCTTGAAGCCGCACGAGGAGATGGACGAGCTGGCTCGAGGGGAACTAGACGTGGCGGAGGGGCTGGAGGAGCGGGGCGCCGGGGGAAGTGGCGTTTGGCGGGACCTGATGCTGCACCCCACACCGGTGGTCAAGCGGATGCTGCTCATTGGCTTGGGGTCCAACTTCTTTCAGCAAGTGAGCTGCAAGCTCGGCCGTCTGTCTTCCTCTCTTCTGGGGGTCAACCTTCGCCGCCGGTTGATTTCTGCGATCTTCATTATTCCTTTGCTATGGAGGAGTTTGGCAAGTAGCGGGAAGCGGACTCTCAGCACGTTGTCTTGTCAGCGTGCTGGTTACCATAACGAAGACTCTGATTTTTCTCTGAGATAGCTTTTGCTGACGATGCACACGATGCAAAGTGGCAGATCCCTTTTTTTTGATCAGGAACAAAGAGCGACTGGGGGTAGCTATGTGAGATACCGGTTTCTTAGAAAGTCAAGGTTCGTTAAAAATAAATGCAAGTGTCGGGATCTGGTAGTAACTTCGACTAGCGAATAACGACGAGAGCAAGGAGCTACCGGAGAGGAGATAATATGTTCGAAAGACATTTTCCAGAACCTTTCTTAAGTGAGGAGCGGAGCATTGAGTACGGCTGTCATCTGCAGCCGCACGAGCTTGAACTTCGAGCTTTTCTAACAGACCCGTGACGTTTAAGTACCAAAAGCAACCTGCAACATTTTTCGCAGGCGACTGGTGTGGACGCGATTGTGTAATACGCTCCCGCCGTCTTCGCCCTCGCCGGAATAAACACCCGCGCGGGCGTCCTCGCCTCCACCATTGGGGTTGGGGCCGCCAAGGCCGGGTTCGTCTTGGTCGCCGTTTTCCTCTTGGACCGAGGCTGGGGAAGGCGATCACTCCTCCTCATGAGCGCGGTCGGTTGCACCGTATCCCTCCTAACCCTCGCCATCGGTTTCATGCTCCCGGGGGCGGCATGAACGGCGCCCACACGGCCCATGCTCCGTCGCCCGGTTCCGCTGTTCCGGTCGGGCAGGACGGAACGGGGTTCCTGCGGTCGCTCGCGCCGGTGCTGGCAGTGACCGCCACGTGTGCGTACATGGCGTTCTTCTCAACTGGGCTCGGGCCGGTGAATTGGGTTTTGGTTAGCGAGATTTTCCCGTCAAGGCTTCGAGCGCAGGCCATGGGGCTCGCGACCGTTGTGAACCGCACGATCAGCGGAACTGTCTCCCTCACGTTCCTCAGCCTTGCGGAAGCAATCACCGCGGCAGGCACGTTTTTGCTCTTTGCGCTGATCGGGCTTGCCTCAGTGGTGTTCTTCTATTACGTGGTTCCGGAGACGCGGGGAAAGAGCTTAGAGGAGATAGAGAAGATGCTCGCGCACAAGGACGGCCTAGAAGCGGAAGTCACTGATGCTCCAACGGAATCGGACTCGTGGTCTAGTAGACTGTACCAAAGATTTACAGGAGGGTTTGCTCGAGCATACTCGGAGGTAGGGGATGCGGGCAAGGACGATAGCGTGAACGGGAACGATGAAGACCAGATGCCGGTCAAGAAAGATACCGGTGATACCCGCCGCATCAATAGGTTAGCAGCAGCTTCAGAGCAGGCGGAGGCTAGGTTAAGCTTGCGGGACAAAGTCAAGGCGATCGCACTGCGTAAAGAAAACGTTGGTCCTTCGGAATCGAGTAGGATGTTAGATGACCTGTAAGTCTCGTAAATGCACGCCGCGCGCACTGATTTGATTTTGATTGTAGCTGATCAACTAAATTCAGCGAGCTTGCCCCGCCTGATTGCCCATGTTCAGCATCAATACATGCCGTCTAAGGACCAGCTTTCTGGCCATGTTCGTCAATGATCTTATGGATGCACATGCTCTTGTGAAACGATGCTGAGGTCGCGATGAGGGAGCACTATCAGCTTAAAGGATGGTGGACTGGCGCACACCTTGAGCAAACATGAATACATGTGCAACGCATCATGCATCATGAGGGACACTCGATCTGTACCTAGTCTCGTATCTCATGCATCCGGGAATCCTCAGTTTGGCTGCATCGTATAACTCATGCTCAACCGAGGCGCACGGCATCTACATTATTGACACTTGCGATGTGCACAGCTGACAGCTTTTGTAGGCTTGTCTGCAAGCGGTCGGACAGCGACAGAGAGCCGGTACCGTATGGTTGAGATACAACGGCTTCTTGCTGGCCAACATATGTTGCAGCGCGAGCCTTCCATACACCGATTGCATGTGTTATTAGGAACACGGCACCATAGCTACAGGTTTCAATACCCTACGTAGCTGTGCCTCACGTGCCGGTCAATGCATCATCCGAAGCATCCTCTCGTCCGACAACGGCAGATGGTCTGTTGATCAAGCGATACGCAGCTCCGCAAAAACTCCCGCAAACATCTCCCCTTTCGTCGAAAACAGGCTAAGCAACAAGTCTCTCAGACCATCTCTCCAACATTTACTGCCCGTACTTGAGCAGGAAGTCGTTGTTGATGACCTTGAACGACAGGCGCGAGTGCCCGAGCGCGGCCATGCGCGCGCGCGCCACCTCCTTCTTGGGGCGCACCACGATGCCCTCTCGGAAATTATCAGTGCCCGGGTACTTTCCCCGGGCCTTCTCCAGGAGCTCCTCCAGGGTGTAGCCGAAGCCCTCCCCCTCCTCGAGGATGCGTACCGTGGGGATGTCGAGCACCCGGGCGGCCTCTACAAACTCCTGTGTACCATACAACGAATGTTCGCATTTATGTTGACATTTCTTTCAGAAGCAGGCAACGGTAGTTTAGAAGCAGGGCTGTCACAGCCGGCGCCGCCAGTCAGCTTTTCTGGGCTCCGAAGGAAGACTCGCCTTCCAGATCAAAAGATATTTCAACTTTTAGAGACAAGTAATGTCTGAGAGGTGCTTGCCGAGCGGTCGACCTGGGACTTCAGTTCGATCTTGTCAGGGACTGCAGTTGGATCTCGTCAGAGTTCTACTTCAGGCAAAAGAAGCGCAGAGTCTGGAGAATTCACCAGTGTCGAATGCTCACGAAGCTGCAGTGCCTTATACTAGACATCTCGTCGAGAAATCACAGGGAAATCACACTTAAACTAGAAGAGCTCGTCATATGCTTCTGTCTGTAAGTCATCAATCTCGTCTGTAAGTTATCATTCTCAATTGTTCCAAGCGCCCACTTGACCACTTGCCTCGTAGTCGAGGTAGCGCCGCTCCTGGATGGACCACACGTTGAACAGCGCGAGCTGCAGCGCTTTCGCGCGACACTTGTTCTTCTGGAGCCCCGGGCCGTGCACCTCTCCTTGGAGTATCCAGTCCGGGTTGCGCGCGAGCCGCTCGCGCAGATTGTACAGCTCGGCGACCGCCCAGAAGGCAGTCTGGGCCTTGCTCGTCTCGTCCTCCCGAGCGATGCCCAGGTTGCGCGAGCACACCTGCGCGCGGAGAATCGGAGTTGTCGAAGTGAAATTGTCAGGCTTATGGCCCTTCACCTCTCAGAGCTTATAAGTCTGATCGTTCGTCGGATGAAGCGGACTGCTTCTCGTGGCTGAATTCTCGTAAGATCTCACAATCCAAAGAAAGGTTTTTGAGTCCTGTTGCGAGTCGAAATGGCTCCCGTTCCCCTATGCCAAAGCGCCTTACGGCTCAACGATCTAAGGAGGAAGCCGCCCTGAGCGGTCGTTGATATGACCTGCTTGCGCTAAGATGAGGGCTCACAAGTTGTCCACCGGCTAAAAAATCCGGAAACTCGTCGTAAATCTTCCACAGGAAACGATACGTGCATCTTCCCCCACCGCAAACTATCTTGCACCTTCGACCAGGTATTTATCGTGCATTGCTCGACGAGCCTCAGGTTCTGCTCGTTACTAGAGTAATGACGGTCCAGATCCTGGATAATCCGAGTAAAGATGGCCACGTCTCGTGAGAGAGACCTCGGGTCGATCGCGAAATAGCAGAGGAAACAATCGGCGAGAAAAGTGTCACGTCACCTTGAGCTCCCCGTCCCAGAGGCCGAACGGCCCCGAGGCGCCGTCGACCTTTTCGGCGATGTAAAAGGGAAGACCCCGCAGGGCTTCCAGCAGCTCCAGGCTGCTTTGGACACGTGGCTCGTCCGTTTTGGAGGGGCCGCGGCCGCCGAACACGGAGGAAAAGGCGACGCCGCCACCTGCGGACGCGCGGGGTTTGGGGGTTTGAGGGTTTGCGGTTTGGAGTCGGGATGTGGGCTGTGGGGTTTGAAATGCGGTGATGCGCTTGAGGCGCTTCGAAGGCCCAGAAGAATAGATCTTGTAAGTGGCCAGTCAAAGATAATCTTGCGCTCAAGGGGCTTTTAAAGGGGGAGGAAACGAAGCAGTGACGCTCAAACTGAGTGAATGCGTCAATTGTCCACTGAGCTTGCGAGGGATTTGTTGCGTCGATAGGAACTGCCGATAGGAACTGTCGATAGGAACTGCCGTCACTGATCCGAGCCTCGAGTTGCAAGATACAGAAAACGTCTGCGGCAACCGGTATCTGGTTACAGTAACTTATCAAGAGACATTCCTTGGTCACAATCTGCTATCTCTCTCGGAAGAGATAAGTGGTATTCGCAATGTCCAATCTCGAAACCGCAGAACAAGAGCCCTTTGCTTTCAGAGCAACAAGGCTATCCTCGAATTTCTGTGCACGAGATAGATCTTTCAATAATATCATCGACAACGCAGCAGAGAACAGTGTGCTTACGTGGCATTGGGTAATTTCCCGGTTCCTCAAAGATCCGCTTCTCGATGCCCAGCGCGCGCGTCAGGTCCGCGCCCTCCACCCAGTCCCCCTCCCCGACCGGAAACTTGTCGCTCCGGGGGAGGAAAAGGCCCTGCGAAAGCTCCCCCCGCAGCTTCAGGGTCTTGATCTTGCGCTTCCGCTCGTCGACGTTGTGCCACGTGGCCTCCGGCAGGATCGAATCGATCTCGAAGTAGACGCCCACGTCGCCCTCGCGGCTGTCGATAGGAACGACGACGCGCCACCCGCCGACTTCGGCGATGGCGAGACGGTCAGCGTTGGGGTGCGGGGAAACCTTGCCCAATTTTACGACCTGATTAATGAAACCAAAGAAGAAAGGTTAAGGATCGTAAACGTGGGGGAGGGTCGAGAGTATCTAGATACACTGCACCTGCTCTGGGGACGGAGGTCAAGGGTGTTCTGCGTTGGGGTGGGGCAAAACTTTGCCCACTTTCGCGACCTGGCTAACGTAACCAGAGAAGGTTAGAAAACAAAGCGGAAGCTCAGAGCAACCAGATTTGATGCTTCTGCTGTTGAGGGCGATCGAAATGCGTTCGTTCGGGTTAGGCTTTGCACAAATTCGCGAGCTGCTTTATGTATCAAACGTAAGACCCGTTAGGAACAGTGAAAGGTACTAAGAGTCTGACTCAGAAGCATAGCACCTGGTTCTGGATACTAGATTTGAGGGCGGCCAGCGTGGGGGAGAGGGAAGAGATCGTGCCCAGCCACACGACGCTGAATTGGCAAGCAGAAAGTAGCTGGAATGAACCCATTACAGGTGATTTGTGCTGGAACATTGGGAAAAGATGGGAAAAGGTCACGTAGGAAAAGTTACGTCAGATGATCTTCGTAAACGGACGTAACATGAGAACATACTTTCTGGCGGTGCGCCGTTAGGGTGGGGAATGACTCGCTCAGCTGACCGTACGTAAAGTAGGAGCGACATCGTCTGGTGAACATAAGGGAGTTGACCTGGCTTCTCTTGGTTTACTCCTCCATCGGTTCCAAAGAACCAGTCAACTTATGAGCAAACAAAGCGGGCTCAGAGTAGCCGTACAACGTACTTATTTGCGTCGACTGCTCTGATTGAAAAAAGCAAAGAGCAACTTGAAATATTCAGTATTTGGTCATGAGAACTTCCGTGAGGAGAAGCTGGCGTATATGAGACTCAAGGAGTATATGAAATTCAAGGAGTCACCGCAAACCCCCTTCTGATATTCTGGTAACGTCCAAAACGAGATAGTCGCAGAATGGGAACAAAGTCCAACTCTCCAAAGAGTATCAGAATCGGACAGAAACCTGAACGACAGAAAACCTGAACAAAAGCTTTGAGATGTCACGTGGCCATAATCTAAATGGAAAATGGCAGACAAGCAGGCTGTTTGAAACGCAGACAGTTTCGAAGTCAAATTGCTGATTACCTTCGCCATCGAGCGAGAGCTCTCATCAAGATCCAGCTGGTTCAGAGCCGCAAGGTCAGCTGCTTCTCCCATACTTTTGTTCCCTTCGACGATCCTGGAAGCCTCCATCTTGCTCTCGGTTACACTTCCGTTCTCTTCCGCGGTTTTGTTCAGCTCCTCCACGATCTTTGGAGCTTCCATGTTGCTGTTTATCTTCTCTGCAGCACTTTTGTTCTCCTCACCCAGCTTGCTTGCGTCCATAGTACTGCTGCTCTTTACCCCAGTTTCCTGCTCTTCAGCGATTGCAACAGGTGCTTTGCTTGCGTCATGAAGATCATGAGTGGAGCTTTTGTCTTCGTTTGGCGCCATTAGTACAGAGGGGATACTAGTACAGAAGCTGCGGCGTCTTTGTTGCGTTCCAGGTAAATGACGCTGAGCAGCAACGCCGCGCGCCCTGTACTGCAGCTCTGTGTCGAACAATGTTCGCAGCAAGCTGCAAAACTTCCGGCGTTTTAGCTCAGGGCTTGCACAACCTTGGAACAGTGTGCGCTGTACTACTAGCAAGCCTGCCTGACGGGAACCGTAACAACCATACAATGCAGCACTGCTGTGCAGCTTCATAAAAGCTGCGCAGCCAGCGACGCTCGGCTTGCCGAGACATGAGCTGAACTGACCGAAAACCATGATGACTAGACACGAGTGGACTCCAAAGTGATGATCCTGTTAAGAGGAGAAGTGACGGATACGTTCCAAGGCTTGTTGAGTCATGAACAACACAATGTGCCGGTCTGTCCAATGCACTGTCCATTGCAGTAATATGAGCAGCTACGTCAGGGCTACGTCACTGTTCTCCGCTATGTCACGCTGCAGCGTGTAACCGCTTGAGTAGACTCAGTAGTCCTGCATGTAACGCGCCCGGGTGCGCGGCGCGAGCAAAACAGGGCGGCCGCGGAGAATGTGATGCCGGTATCTCGGGGTTTCGGGGGGTGTCCGCAGCTAGGGCGTCCGATCCATGTAGGTACTAAGCCGCCAAGTATATCATAAGAAATCTGAGTGGGGATTCAGGGCCTTTTGCCCTGCCTCCCGCGGTCGGATGTCCGAGGGTGCGACATTGCCAAATACGGCCTCCTGATTGGCCCGCTCAACACTCAATATTCAATCTAGGGTACTTCAGACCTAAAACCTTACTTTAGTGTACGTTGGACCGAAATTTAACACCGCAGTTCCATGGCGTGGCGGCCTAAAATTCACTAAGTACCGAAAAGCTGTACGACTGCGAGGACCCGGTGCTGAGCACACCGGTTACGGAGTCCTAGCTGAAGAGGCTGGGTGGAGTAACGCCGGCAGACCCCGGTTGGTCTTCAAGTAGTGAGTGAGAACAGTTTTCAGGTCGCCGGCTTACCGGTCAAATTTCAAGGCCCTAGTAGTCTGACACATAGTACGCCAATGTCTGACATACCGTACGCACGTGGTACGGTCTCATCAAGAAAGTTTGACTTGGCGACTTCAGTGTGCGACACGTTGCAAATTTGTCAGGATCACGTACGGCCGACCGTTCGGTTCAGATTCAAACCTGCGGACCGTAAGACTGACCGGCTCATCGCTTCAGCCCGCCGCAAACAGACAAATTAAATAAAACACCTATTTTATCGAACCCGGTACCGGGTCCATATAAAATCGAAGATGACTGTCGCGAAATAAAAGTTAAGCGACGCGGATGACCGGTGTTACCCAGCGGTTAGTACCCACGCTGGACCTACGGGCAATCAACCTGGTACCGGGTTCCGACCAGCGGTCGGATTCAACTCTGGGCTCCAAACTTCCAAAGTGCTGCGCACATTGGAGTTCTTATATATGTCACACATGGTGTATCGAAATCGAGATCGAATAATCATATACACTGACATGTATATATGTAACGCATGTAACGCGTTCGACAAATTGCATCGAAGCTGTCTCGCGATGGTTCACGACAGGCAAGAACTAGGAATTCGACACGTGTCCACGACATGCCTTTATGGAGTTGAGTCCCGAAAGACTGACGTTCCTGCCAGGATTCGAACCCTGGACCTCGAGGCTCGAGCCGTCCGACCAAACTCTTTGCCCACTGGGCTAAAAAGAGCGCGTACGTTTTAATGCGGAACCTTCCAAATATATAAAAAAAGTCTTC